CATATTCAAGATTATCCACTTCCAAACCCCCTGCCATGGGCAGGGACACAGTCAACTAGACCAGGTTCCTCTAAAGCCCCATCCAATATGGCCTTGAATGCTTCCAGGGATGATGCATCCACCATTTCTTTGGGCAAACTGTGCAGTGCCTCACAACCCTCAAAATACAGAATTTTTACCTAATGTGTGGTCTAAACCTACTTTCTTTCCATTTTAAACCAAATCCCTTGTCCTCTCTTTACATGTCCTTGTGAAAAGTCCCTTTCCACCTTTCTTCAAGGCTCCCTTCAGGTACTGAGAGGTCACAATTAGGTCACGCTGGAGCCTTCTCTTTTCCAGGCTGAAAAATCCCAGCTCTCTCAGCCTTTCCTCATAGGAGAGGTGTTCCATCCCTCTAACTATCTTGGTGGCCTCTTCCAGACTTGCTCCATGTCCTTTCTGTCTTCCTGTGCTGGGGACCCCAGAGCTGGATGCAGGTTTCCAGGTGGGGTCTCACCAGGATGGAGTAGAGGGGCAGAAATCCCCTCTCTGTCCCTGCTGGCCACGTGGCTTTGGATGCAGCCCAGGACAGTGCCTTTCTGGGCTGTGGGTGCACATTGCTGGGTCATGGCCAGCCTCTCATCCACCAACACCCCACGTCCTTCTCAGCAGGGATTCTCTTGACCTGTCCATCCTCAGCCTGTGTTGATACTTGTCCTCTAGTTCAATTCCACAGTTCAAACAGGGTCACCTAATAACACCAGGTCCAATCAGGTCTTTAATACCTCCAAAGGTGGATAATCAACAGCGTCCTTGGGTAACCTATGTCAGAGTTTGACAACCCTTATGGTAAAAAATTGTTTTCTTGTGTGCAATTGGAATATCACGTGTTTTAATTTTTGTCTGTTACCTCTTGTCCCGTCAGTGGCCACTACTAAGAATAGTCTGTCTTCCCCATCATCATTTGTTCCTATCAGGTGTTTCTAATCAATGTACATTGATCAGGTGCCTTTAAGCCTTCTCTCAGTTGAGGAATCCTGTCTCTTTCAGCCTGTCCTCACATGGAAAAAAAGAAAGAAATTTTTAACCTATCGTCTAAAAAATTTTGGAAGGTTTTCCTGAATAAGAAAATCGAGACATTAGTCTTGATCTAGTTTTTCTCATAAGCTATGCAATTTCAGTTCAGTGTGTAAGTGCCAGATTAAATCATTAACAGAGTGATAATTTGGCAGTTTTTGTCAAGAAGCTCATCAGAGCACTATGTTGTACATCTGGAGATTTCACATGTGTTTTGCCTAGGCTTAGATGTGGTGGCAAAGCAATGCTATGGTTACTGTTCAAGCTATGTGTGCATTGACAGCTTGCACTGCGTCCAGAATTTCCAGGCTGTTTTGATCAAAAGCTATTGAAACAGACATGAAGATGGTGCAAGGAGTAACTGTTGGGAGAATCTGCCATGGTCTTGCTCTTGGTGGGAAGGTGTTGGTAGCGAGAACCACACATTGTGGGATATCGCTCATCGCTAGCGCAGAAACCAAAGTAAGCAGGTGCTAATGTCTATCAACAAGGACTAAGGTAGGCTGTAGCTGAAAGTAGGCATTGATTCGCCTTGCCAAGGAAAACTCTTTCTCCACAGTTTCTCAACATAGAAGTCAGAAGTGACATTTGCTACAATATTACATAATTTTTAATGCCTTGATTTGTGAATCAGCCTTGCTGGGCAATGGAAAAATCTGTGCTGCTTGGCTTGTAGATGGCATTAATTTCCAAAACTTCAGTTAATAGTTTTTGCCCATATTTTAAGTTTTTTTTTTTTAACTCCTACAGATGCTAATATTTCTAATTAAACACTAGCAGTGTTCAGGAAGCTGCCACAGCTGACGGAACTTGCTTCCTAGAGACATCATGATACCCCACATGACAAATGTGCTGCATTCCTCTGCTCTGTGTTTGCTTATTTTGATCAAACCTTTAAAGGCTCAGGGACTGACATTCCCTAGCCTCACATTTTGAAGAGAAATCAAAACCCTGCAATATATTATGTGCGCATCCCTAGATCTCTGATCTCTCTGAACCTGCAGAAGATTTCTGGTTGTTCAAATTGTTTCTGAGCGTGTTCTTTGTCAGTGCTGTTTGTGGCACTGCAAAGCCTGTGAGCACCTGTCACTGATCAGCACACTTACAGCACTGATGACTGTACAAACCCCAAACAGGAAGGTGCTCTGTGACTCCCAATCCCACACATCTCAAAGGCACCAACCTCCATTCAGCCCAGGGAAGTGAAATCTCCAAGCACAGGTTTCTGTCTACTTATGTCTTGCTATGCATGCGCTAGAATATTTTTCAGTACATGGTGGTAGATGTTCTACTTATTACAGGTGACACTTTTGTTTGGCTGAAAAGATGAAATTCAGAGATAAATACTTTTTTATAATTCACTAGTGGATATCTGTATACAGACTACCTGTAAGTCAAACAGTGACATTCTTTCATGAGTCCTTTTAAGTGACAAAATACTTGACCCTTATTTTCCAGATTGTGAACAGTGGCATGGAGAGATTATGTCCCAGCCCCTTCAGAGAATTCATTTCAGTGCAAGTGTGGATTTTCCCAGACTGCAGGGAGCAGCAAACTGCAGTTTCCCAAAGTTTAGGTTAATAATGTCCTACCAAAGATAGTCTTCTTCCTTCATCCACCAGCATTTTTCTACAGAAAAAAAAAAAATAAAATACTAATGAATAAAGCTGCCAGAGCTCAGTCCAGGAAGAAAGATTTTATTCCATCAGATAAAAGGAATGTCTATAGTCTCTCTCTCAGGGCCTGTCAACTAATCTAAGATAGCAGCAGAATTTTTTTATGTGCTACACTATTTTCTAACTAATCTCATTTTAAGAAAAGTAACATAATGAGCATTTATTTGGGGCACTCAGCATACTTTTCTTAAAGCCAGACAAAAAAGGAAATCTGGTACTTGTTTTATTTCTACTTTATCACTTTATCTGACAGCTTGACATAAGAGCAAACACAAGAGCATAGCTCTGTATAAGATATTAATCTTAAATGATCACAAAACAATTTTCTTCTCCAGATTATCTAATGCAGTCTAATTGGCAAGGATGGATCCTGTGTACAAAAATAGTTTGGAGATGCTATTATTGTAGCAGAGCGGTATTTTTTTTTTTTCTGGAATCTATTTTAAATGCTTTTATTAGTTAGTTCTGTGGGCTTTTTTTCCAGGTTGCTTTATAAATCTTTGGAAACTCTGAATTCTCAAGTGCTGTCTCCTGACAATTAATTCTGGAACAGTGACCAACAAAAAGCCATATAGCTTGAATGACATTTGAGAAAATTGCTGCCGCAGAAAAAGTGTTTGATGAGTGTGTCTCACAGTCTTGTAGCTGGATATTTAAGTAGACTTTTAAAAATAGTGAATTCACAGTAGCCTGGTGGGTTGCCATGATGGCTCTGAAGGTGTCACACTGTGACTCTTTACCATGAGTTTGGGTGCAACAACAAGGTAAAGGGTCACAGGCTGTAATTACAATTACACTGACATCAAAGGAGAGCATTTAGACATATGTAAAATCTGAGAACAGCCTTTATGAACTCAGTACAATAATTGATGTTTTTTTAATTTGGGATCACAATGTTCCAGACCTGGTGATGCAAGTGCAGTTACCCCGATCCCCTCCTTAATATGTACCAGAAGAAAAGTATCATGAGTAGATATTAAACCATCGGAAAGCAAGTGCTAAAGTGTTGAGAATTCATTAAAAAACAACTTTGACATTTTGACAACTGGATAAAGTTCATTGATCGTATTTTTCTGTTTCTGAAATCTCTTAAGTTTTGCATGTTCCAAATGTCAGGTAGGTTTCCAAAACCCCAGAGCAAAAGAATAACATGTGAGCTTCAAGCTCTCTCTTCATCATGTGTTAAGGTCTTTTTGGTAGTTGAACTTGACTAGAGTTAAAATTTCTTTAGTTTTGTCTGGAATTGCTACTGTGATGTCTTTCTGTAGTTCTGTATTTTAATGCCAAACTTTGTAGTGTTTTTTCCTTTCTATTAGCAGATTTATTGAGGGAATATGATGCCTGCAACATCAGGGTTTTGTTCCTGATGCCCCAGCATGCTGTTGACATCCCAAGTACCTGTAATATATCACCTCCTCCTGGTTCCTTGGCCCCCTGTGCCAGGCACCTCTGGTTGCCTGGGGCAAGGAGCAGGCTGTCCTGCTCTGCTGTGTGGTCATGGCCACCTTGTCCCTTGTCACCTGCCTCTGCAGGAAGGGGTCTGGGTAGGTGCATACAAGTGAGAGGAGTTGGAGAGGCTGGGAGTCCATTAAAGGAAAAATATTCAGACAAATTAATGAGGAGTTGCTATGAGACACTGTCACTGGGTAAGAACTGTGTTGCACCAGGGACCCGGCTATTTGAAGTGCAAATCTCCAGGCTTTTGTAGTCTCATCTCTTAAACACCCCAATGACTTTCTGCAGTGGTCTGTCTGCTCCAGCCACTGTTCAGGAGCCCCGTGTCTTCCTGCAGGGGTTGCCCTTCCTCTGCTTGAGGCTTTGCAGGAGCCTGCTGCAGGCTGTGAGCCCTCAGGTGGATCTGTGGGAGCGCTGGAGCTGTGCCAAGCACTGTGGAAAACGGGAGGCACGGAAAAGTGGGGCAGAGCACTCAGATCTGACCCAGAGCTTCCTGAAATCAATGGGAGTCCCTCCCCTCCTGTGCTTGGCCACAGAGCTCTGGGGCGATCCCGATGGGTTACTTGTCTGGAAGCAGCTCCACCTTCACAGAGCCCATGTCAGGACCAACTATTTTTCTTCTGTTGTCACTACATGTTAGTGGAAAGGAGTGTAAGAGACACGAATAGCCTGTCTGGACCTGCACAGCCTTGTGACAGTACTGCCTGAATGGCAGTCCCCTCCCTGAGCACGGGCATGAGAAATACACCGACACTAGCTGCAATTCCGTTTCCCATACAGCAGATGGAGTTTTTTTATTTATAATAGCTCAGCGTTGTGTCAGAGAAAGGAGAGATGCCAAAACCCCAGCCAAAACACTGGAGCCAAGCACCCATAGATATGGGAAAGTTGCCTTCTGGATCCAAGCGCTGGAGGGCTCTGGGAGGCCCACCTACCTCAGGAACAGATGTGAGTAATTAATATTTGACTGGAGCTAGCTGATCAATCCTAGATAAATTGCTTGAAGGTTAATCACAAGATTCTGAGTCACTTTTATTTTTATTTTTACCTGACTTCTTGTGGGATTTCTGCCACGTGTGAAAGGAATATAAGGACTTTGATGTGCAAAGAAACTACATGGGGTGAATCTCACTGCCACCATGAAGTGTTTGGTGATGGGAATGGTAGTGATTAGGTATCAAAAGGACTAAAAAGTCTATATACAAAAATGTCTGTTCTTGGGCAGATTTACAGGGGAAAAAATCAAGAGCTGAATAATTGTCTTATGTGTTCCAGGATGTGAATCGATAACAGTGCTGCTAATTGGTGCCCGGCAGATTTATTCAGATGCAAACCTCTCAGTTTGTGGTTTGGGGCTGTCTCATTTCTCTCCAGGTGTCATTCATACCACTGTTATTTGAGGTCACATGAAGCAGAGTTTTTAGGCAAAAGACAGCTGTTCACCAATGGCTGAATGTCAACATGCATAAAAAGAAAAATATCATTGCATCCTTCACTCAAGTGTACAAGTGTGGATTCTCTGAAATCACTCCAGCTGTGTTGGAGTTACAACAGCCAGGTATTTCATCTAGAAAGTACACTGGCATCATTTAGATGCAAAGTGCTGCTCAAAGTTAATTTGTTATCAATACATTACAGTGCTCCTGGCCAATTGCTTAGTGCTAGATAGCTCTAAAAGTAAATTATTACCATAGAATATACAGTAACCACTTCAGTTTATGTTTGCAAATTACAATGAAAGCTAGTTGAAATTCCACTCTAACTATAGCTTACCCTGTTGTCCTGGGAGTTTTTCTTCAGTTGAAGATGACTTGTGCTCTGTTTTAAGCCTTGCAATCTCCATAAATCTTACAGATTTATTTCTTTTGTTTTTAAACTATATTGACTGTTGTCAATTATTAGTAAAATCCTGAAATTTGGTACTGGGCTGCAAATATAGAAAATGCAATGTGGCCCTAAAGCTCAGACAGGTGAAGGACAGTGGGCCTAAGAGTATTATTCATACTAATAGCTGTTTTTATTTACTTTTTCTCAGTAATATTTGTTGATCTAGCTATCCTCAGGTACCAAAAATTTTTCATGTTTAATAGGATTTCATCAAAACCTCCACTGAATAAGTGGTTGATCTGCAAGGTAAAGCACTTGTATGTAGTGCCAAAGATAAGTTTGCCTTTACAAAGATCTGCACTTTGCAATTCTGAGGCTGCACTACAGTCTTTCAAATAATGGCATAATCACACTGCTCAAATCACTCATTCTTATCAAGAAGAACAAAATTGGTCATGCTCTGACCTCAAAGTGGTATCCAACAATCATTTTTACCCCCTTAGCTTTGTATCCAGTTGCACAGCTCTCAAATGTGCAGCAGGCCAGAGAACATCAGGGAAAGGTGGGGAAAACAGTGAGGGAGATGGATGGGGAGCTCCGTTTTCTTTATAGGGCCCACACTAAGCACAATATGTCCCTGTGGAGTTTCAACCAGGACAAACCCTCTGCCATCTGTGCTGATGGTGAGGCAGAAATGCTGATATGCCCATTTCACTTACTCCACACCCCAGTGCCCTGCCTGAAGCGATGCCCTGGAGAAGTATCCCTTGGGCTTTGTACACAGAAAGCAGTGACAACCCATTATTTGTGGACAGGCCACCATTTCTTGTCCTCACAATTGTCTCCTATGCATTGCTGGTGTGCCCAGCCCCTGTGCAGGGTAGGGAGAGAAGGGGGGATGTGAGCTTCCCTTGGGTGCTGGGGCTCTGTGTGCTCCCTTCCTGTCATCCCTCATACATTGCCATCCTTTTTCAGGCTGCACAGGAAGAGTTTGAGGGCTGCCAGTGCAGCAGAGGACACAGTTTGGGGATCCCCTAATTGTAGTGTCATGTAGGTATACATAATGGTATCTGAAGTCTGCAGTAGTAAAACAACATCACCCTGCACTTCATAATTGCTGAGGCCTACTGGTAATTTCTCTCTCTTTAGAGTCAAGGGATGATAACCCTCACCACAGAGGGCTGCAAGTTTAAACCATTTATTTATACTCCTCTCTGGAGGTATTTGAATCTGACCTCAGACACTCTGACCCCAATGTTCTACACTCTGATTCTAAGTATTAGGAAGTGTAGGATCCAGACAGACTGTTCAAGTTTAGCAGTCACTTGAATTTAGCAAATTGTCTCATCTGAGCAAAATACTTGCATAGTATTATGCTCTTAAATATAAGAATTAATATATAAATATATAATAATTAATAAATTAATCTAATAATCTAAGTTTCCTTCATTAACTGCACATGTGATTTTGTTTCTGCTTTGTTTTACTATGTCACATAATTAAATATAACATCTATTTTTCCCAAGCCACTGAGCACATCTGCTACTAGCATATATTTAGTGGTTCTGTTGTAATGGGTTCCCAGTCTGGCATGTCATAGAAGATCAAGGCCTGGCTGGTACAACATCAGTAAGTGCTTTAAAGAAAGCAGACAAATCTAAGAATTGCTTATGCCTATAAATGTAGAATAACCAGGATGCATTTGCAAAAGAGACAAATATGTTTCAGTTTTGTTTGCAGGTTGCTGCACAAAGGTTAGTTCATTCATTAAAGTATCTTAGAAATGGAGAGTTGAGTATCACCTGGGAGAGTTGCTCATCCAGTCCCTCCATGCTGGGGCAGGATCAGGTATCAATACTGGGAACAGACTGGAAATGAAAGAATATTTTTCTGAGACAAGAAAAATGCAAAATAAAGTAGATTAATTAGAGTTGCTCTGCTTCAAAGGCTCCCTGTTCTTTAATATATTGATCACAGTGTTCAAAGTTCTTCATGATGCCTCCTCCCCCAAAAAATGCTCCTAATTGAATATTGGACTATATTCTGATGAGACCTCATGTAAATTTCAAGAACTCAACTAATTTGTCAGTGTGAAGTGAATGTCAGAATTAAAGGCAGCTTCAGTGCTCAGATAGTGTGCAAGTCTGTGATTTGAACCTTCTTTTTTTCAAAGTGAAGAAATAAAATTTCAGAGATTCACAAGTGTGGTGCATGACCCATGAGTCAATGTGGAGTTTTTTCCACCACTAAAAATTGCTGCAAAATGGAGTAATTTCTACCAAAGTCAACAGAAAGGGTTTGAGATGTTGTTTGAGACGTTGGAGTGAGGAGAGTGGGGTAGGAGCCTGAGGAGCTTAGCACATGTGGGTTAACAAAGAAAGATCCCTCAGGCTGCTTGCAGAAGTATCAGAAGTCTGCCTTGGCAAGCCTCCTTCCCCTCCTCACCAGTTTTTTTCTTTGTTGCCTCCATGAGACAATCTGGGAAGCTCCTCATCCTGTAGGAGTGGGGTTGTAGACAGTAATTCCATTGGTTAAACAGGGCCAGGTGATGTGACCCAGGGCAGGTGATTTGACCTGCACACGCTTCTTTGAGCTCCTCAGCACACAGGGACGAGGGGCACTATTGATCTGAGACTGAGAGAAAATCATACTACAGGTATTGTGGGAGTTGAGATGAAGGGTTAAGCAAAAGAGAATTAAAAAAAATAAAAGGTTGGTTGATTCTTACCCTAACAGCTTATTAGCCAAAGCAAAAGTTATTTTAGCAACTCTGTAGCCAAAACTAGGAATTTTTATGTTCCTTCCTTCCACTTACTGATAGCTTTCCAAAGAGAAAGAGGGTCCAAAAGCAGCTGTGCTGTGTTTCCCCCACTCACTGTCTTTTTTCTCACCCAGCCTGGGGGTCACAGTGGCTTCTTGTGCACAGATTTCTGCTGGTGGGCAGCTCCCATCAGCTGGGGTGGCCTCAGCAGCTGGCTATGAGCTCTGCTGGCCCTCAGGCTCTGTCATGCACTGTTTACGTCCTGGCAAAAAGAAGCACACATATTGTAGACGTATCATAGGCACCAGTTTTTTCTGAACCCGAGTCAATATTTCTAGTCAAAAAATGAAAAAAATGGGAGAAGATACCAAGGAGCAGAAGCATTCATTTAGACATTTTAATAATGAAAAATATCAGCCTATTTATATCAACATATTCTAGACAAAAAGTTTCTCATTTTCATTTCAAGAGAGCACCTTTTTCATTTAAAATTGATCTGCCTCTAAGAGAAACGGTAACAAAAGAACAACAAAACTGAAAAGTGATTTTTCTTTTGCCTGAGGAAAACCTTGAAGGCTGACCTAAAAAAAGTTTATTTGGAATTGGTTTTTTTTGTTCTTTTTGGTATGTGGCAATTTTTAAAAAAGAAAACAAAATACTCTGCTGTATTTTTCCCTCATTCAGTAGGGGTCTCTATCTTCCTTCCCACTCCCACCCACCAATCCAGTTGGGCTAACTCATTTCCTTGACCAGTTCTTGGTGTAACTGACACAGTGTCAAGAAATGAGACAGCCCTTAAGTGATATTTATTCATTATCACTATGTTTTCATCAAATCCTGACAAAGTGCTCAGTCTCTAATAATCCATTTTCCCAAACATCTTCTCATGCAGTGGCACTCAGCAGAGTCACATCTGTGGCTAGAAGTGAAAAGCAGAAGTCTACACTTGAGTTATAAATAGCCCATAGATGCAGTTATAAATACGATTAAAGATCTGTTTCTTTTCAAAGGCTGGTAATGCTTTTCTCATTAGGGGGAACATTGGAGAAGGCAGGCAGTATGTATTCCAGTGAAAACTACCTGTACTTGCCATGTGAAGTAACAGAGTACATAACTCAGACCCAGTACTGACCTTTTCACCATGTTACAAAGCAAGGCTTACTTCATCAGCTAAGCATGACCTGAATATATCTCCATTTTATTTCTCTCTGTGTTCCCTTAGGTAAAGCTTTCATATGGCTGTAGCTTTAGGGGCCATCCAGAGAGTTCAGTTCTCACTGTTCCTTGTGGAAACTTCTTGTTATTGTGGATTACCTTAATATGCCAGCCTGTACTCTTTGAACAGCTATTGCTAATCATGTGAAACTGAAGAGTAGTACATCCAACTACTTTTTGAGTAGTTACCATAATGAGGCTACCATAATCATTAAAATCATACCCTGAAACACTTCTTCTACCTCAGCTGTCCAGAGAAGGAAACCAGCCAGTGTGAACGAGTGAGACATGACTGTTTGAAGGGAAGATCCTAAGAACTGTAAATTCCCTTAATAGATCAGAAATATTTATGTCTATTTGGCTTATTTCAGCAGAATAACTGTAGTGCATTGTGAAATGGACCACAAGCATCTCAGCCTTAGGGTGTTGGAGGGGCCTAGGGTGATTTATGCTCTCATGTAAACAAATGCCCTGAAATCCATAACTCTGGAGACATCCTTTGCCTCACTGATTCAGTCTGGTTTCCATGAGCATCTGTTTGATGACTTTTGTCTTCCCTTTTTAAACACTATTCTTCTTCTGAGCTGTCTCCTTTCACTTGTTGGTACTTATCACTTTCTGCTGATGGTGCACAACTTTATTTTTGTCCGTGGTGACGTGACTTTGGTGGGAAGGGCTTTTTTCTGTTGTTACATAAGTCTAACAGAGAGCATGAACAAATTTGGGCCAGGAGCTCTGCTCATGAAGGAGGAATGAGACATTAACTGAGCACCACCAAACAAATTGATGTGAATATCTGGCATGGTCTATGGGAAGAAAAATATTCCAGGTGATTCTCTTTAACACAAGCTTGCTTTGGAGTCACTCATGCAGTTAAACAATTTGGAAAATACTATCTAGTTAGCACAGTAGTGCACAGATGCTTGAATTTGCAAAAGTTCACTGCTTCATTAAATAGTGACTTAGCAATGAAGCTGCAAACAATGTGAATGTTAACATTTCTCTCTCAGCCTCACCTGAAAAAAAACCAAACCTGATCAGCTGTTATATGACTCCTGGATCCCTCTAATTGTTAAAAAAGGGAGTTGGAAAACTTGTCTCTTAGAGGTTGTACCAGACTCCAGTAATGCTTTTTTGTATTCAGCCAAGCTCAATTTTGATTATTGTCCAGCTTATTTCCTTTGAACTGCCAGCACAGGCTTTTTGTCTTGTCAAGCATTTAATCTGTGTTTTGCTGATGCCAGAGTTCAGCTTATTTTGCCCTGTGTTTGAAATACTGTTTTCTTCAGAAGCTGCAGGTCATGGACTTATCTACAGATTCTCACAGACACTTAAGGTCAGTTCCTTCCTCTTTTTCACCAGTATGCTGTTGCCATCTCTCGATTGCAAAGCACTCTGTATGTGCTCAGTCAAACAGTGCTGATAAATTTCTATCTCAGTGGGCTAAAAGGTTATTTAGTACATTTATATAATGTCTTGATCATCCTAGGTCCCACTCTAATAAAGACTTATGCTTAAACTTGGCATCGTGCACTGGCCTCTGCCACTGCTTTCAAGTGATTAATCAGCAGAGGCAGAAAGATCTGCCAAAGCATAAACCTTTGTAGATCCTGTGTCTTTAGGTGACTGGTAACTTATTTGATGTTATTTACATAGTATCAGGGTTCAGGTAGCTGGCATAGCCCAGAGGTATGAACAAATCCCGAACTGGAGTGGGAAGGAGGAATACTGTGTTTCACCAATAGTTGCAGTTAAAATGCAAGTCCCCTTTCAAAAAAAAGAGGAACAGGGTTTGTACATTCAGCAGTTGTGGGTATGGAGGGGGGCTGTTCCAGTTGCATAGAATACTTGTTTAGTCTCCATAAATTTTCAGTGTGGGGAGAATAAAATCCTTTATGCTCCTAGAATTGCCAGTGAACCTGCCTGAATTCTGCTTTTGAACTTTCAGCTTCTGAAGAAGTCAATGTATTAATGCTTATTTCCAGTGCTGAATCTCACATCCTTACACAAACTTCTGATAACTCTGCTAAAAAAAGTTACAAAAATTTAACTTTTAACTTTACATTTTAAATAAGTGCTGTGAATTACTACAGCTCCTGGGGTGGATCAGTGCTCCACCATCCACAAAGGAAGACCAAGCTCTGCAAGCCTCCAGTACAGACCCCTGAGAAGACCCCTGGGAGATGAGGAAAAGGAAACCAGCCATACCTGCACCTACCCACCTCCTTTTTCCACCTTTGTTTCTGCCTATAAAGTGTGTTTCACCCCCTAGTCCTTGCCAGCACAGCAGTGGCACAAATCTATGACTAATACAGCTTTGCATACGACCTAACTCCAGCCCTTACTAATGCCCTAAGATAGAAGACAGAAGGAAGTTTTATTTTCAATGAGGGTGGCAAAATACTGTCACAGGCTGCCCAGAGAGGTGGTGGATGCCGCATCCCTGAAAACATTCAAGGTCGGGCTAGATGGGGCTCTGAACAACCTGATCGACTTACTGTGCTGCTCATTGCAGTGGGGTTGGACTAGACAGCCTTTCAAAGCCCCTCCCGACCCAAACTGTTGTACGATTCTTTGATTATAAAAGAAAACAAAACAACCATGTGAAAAAGGTAGGGGTTGAGCTCAGGAGGGCCGTCCTGTGCCCATCGGGGGTGCGGGTGAGGAGTGCCGGTGCTGCCCGGGGCTGGAGGCGCGTCCTGGGGAGGAGCCCGAGGGATGCTCGGGGGGAGGCTCCGCACGGTGCCCGCTCCGCCTGTGAGCATCCTCGGCCTGTCAGACAGGGTCAAACACGCCTTCTACACAGTGCCCAAGCAGCCCCGTGCTGCTGCAAAAGGTGTGTCCGTGCTTGGTGAAGTAGTAAAATGCGTGCTGGGTTTTGTAAAACAAGGCAGTATTAAAACAAAGCCTAAAACAGCATTATAAATATCAAATATAATGCCACAGCACTTGCATTTTTCGCTTTCCAGTGTATTGAAATCTGCTCCATGTGTCTACCCCATTCTTTCAAATGCTGTTCTTTTTTAGCAACCATCTTAGGCGCAGCATTGTGTGAGTGATGGCAGCAGTTCTCCTCCAGCACATCCTTTTAACTGGCTGACTTTCTTGGCCTTTACTTGGGGTAAAGTCTTTAAAGAAACAGTTACTGCAAGTATTGTGATGTTCATTTTGTTGTGTGCAGGAAGGGTTTTTGTTAAAGTCCACATGAAACCCATTTTCATCAGAGCTTTGACTTCAGGTGGATTTTTCTTTGGTGTTCAGACTGCAATTTCAGAGGGAAAAAGGTTTTTCCTTTTTTCGTGTTTGCTGTTTTGCCAGAGTTAGACCAAGTTATTCCAGCAGGGAATGAACATTTCTCCCCAGGCACCCAATAACGTATTTTAGAGTTCAGGCTGCTGCAGGGTTCCTTCATTCAGTGCTGAAATGTCTTGATTTTGAAATGTACAAGTTTGAAAACAGACACCCTGGTTTGCCTTTCGACAAGCAGGCCTTCTAGGTCTTGCTGCTCTTTTAAAGAAAGTGAATACCAGAGTGGAAGATGGTTGTTTCTTCCTGTGACCGCTCTGTATCATCCTGTTTCACAGCTGGTTACAAATTTTGGTGGTCCATATGCAGCCTCCCTGGAGATGCAGAACTGGGGTGCAGGTCTTTAATGATCCCCAAAGCATAATCTTGCCTGCTTATTCTACAATCACTTTATAGGAAACTTTTTAAAGCATTAGAAAGAAAATAATCTAGACCTTCATTCTGCTGTTGGAGACATTCACTGGAACATACACTGAAAAATATACATCTAAACCAACCTGAGCTCAGAATTAGGCCTGTCAGTTTGCACTGTGGAGAAGGGAATTGTCCCATCTGGGATGTTCACTCATGAAAGCATCTGGTGTAATGTAGTAATCACTTTACACAATGGGATTATAAACCATGTTTATAAATACGAGCTGTTTGTTTGTGTGGTTTTGAGTCACTGGTTTGATGCTCAAGACCTAAGCTGAAGCACTCACAGGTATGAGTGCATGGCAAATGTTATATTAAGCTGTAATT